GATGCTGCTCTTTTAGTCTTCCTGCCAAAGTGCTTATAATTCCTCACATTATACTCCATCTGCCAGATTCTTTGCCCACTCACTCCACTTGTGTCCCTTTGTAGACTCCAAGCTCTCTTCACAACTTTACTTTCTCACCAGCAAATGTACCAGTCATCCATCTGGTGTGTTCCAATCCTCTGGTATCAATTATGATAGTTTTTTTATCCCTCAACTTGCCAACGTGAAAATGACCCAGTTATCCCTAATGTCTGCTCCTTGATGATTAACCAATCCTCGATCTTTGTTTATACGTTACTTCCCAACACCACAAACTTTTATTTGGTGAGTAACTTTATGTCATATCAACTGCCTTTTGGAAATCCAAGTAAACCACATCTACATGCTTTCCTTTAGCCAATGTTTCTTGTTACTTCCTCAAATAACTGTACAAAATTAATCAAAGACAATTACCCCTTCACAAAACCATACTGACGGTCTGATTGCATTGATATTTTCCAAGTGTCAAATCTCCTCATAGATTCCACCATTTTCTTTTAACAGATTTAAAATAATTGGCCTTAGGTTTTCTGCATTCTATTTCTCACCTTTCTGTCATCTATCCAGGAGTAACATTCATTACTTTCTATCTGTTGGGAACTTTTCAGAATCCAGGTTTGTTTGAAAATTAGAACTTTTGTATCTATGACAGATATCAGGAAGATATCAACTCTGGTAGTGGAGCCTCCCTTACTGAGGCTCCTAAATGCCAGTCTAGATTGTGATCAAATCTTCAAGTCAACCAGTTCAGATCAGAATCACTGCTGAACTAAACTCCTACAATTTGAGACCTATACCAACAGATGGCTCACAGAAATAGCTCCTTTTCATTTGCATTATCTCTGGATATCTCAAAAAATCTTATCAAGCTCTTTTGAAGTGAAATTATCTGTTGTATTGCAAGGTTTCTTCAAACATATTAATAGTAAAAGATTAGTGAAGGATAGCGTGCAGCCCTTTCGGAATAAACTGCTCACTGAAGAAAAGGATATGGCAGAGGCAATAGATGAATGTTTTGCTTCCGTCTTTACCAAGTTAGAAGATCGTAACATGGCCTAGTTGAAAACGTGGGTGTTGAGCAACTGAGCAGTATGGTGATAGATAATGAAGAGGTGCTAAAGGGCTGGCAGCATTCCAGATAGAGAAGTTGCCAGGCCCAGATGGGACGTGTCCGAGATTGCTAAATGGAGTTAAGGCAGCAAACTGTGGAGCCGTTGACAGAAATTTTACAGGCCTTTGTGAACACAGGATGAGTCCCACCGGAGAACTACAAATGTGACTTTGTTGTTTAAGAAAGGGATAAAGGATAACCCAGGAAACTACAGGCCTGTCAGCTTGACATCAGTAGTGGCAAAACTGATGGGAGGCCACAATATGGGATAAGGCTAATATATACAGACAAAAATAAAAGTTAATATTAGATAGTATACACAGCTTTGTCAAGGGCAAGTCATATCTGACAAATTTGAGTTCTTCGATGAAATGACACAGGTGTGGATGAGGGTAGTGCTGTGGATATCATATATTTGGACTTACAGAAAAAACATTTGATACATGTTGTTAGCAAATGATAAACGTTTGGGATTGTTGGGTTCTTGGCAGCATGGATTCAAAGTTAGCTAAAAGGTAGGAAACACAGTTGGTACAGATGGGCATTTCTCAGATTGGAGAGGAGCTGAAAGTAGTGGTCCCCAGGGATCAGTGTTGGACTCTTTCTGATTTATACGAACAAATTGGAGGTGGGTGTTGAGGGCAAAATCTCAATTTGCTGATGATACTAAGCTTGGGAGAATACGGAATTGTCAGGAGGATTCTGAGCAACTTCAGAGGAACGTTGTTAAGTTGGCCAATTGGGCTGACACGTTGCAAATGAATTTCAATGCAGAGAGGTATTGCATTTTGGTAGATGAAATATGGAGAGTCAATACAGGCTCAAATGGTAAAAATTTGAGGGAGTACAAGAGCAGAGAGACCTCGGGGTTCGCATGAATGAGTCTCCGAAGGTGGCCAGGCAAGTTGAAATAGTTGTTAAGGCGGCTTATAGGATCCTTGTGGTTATAAATAGCGGTATAAAGTATAAAAGCAAGGAAGTGACGCTACACAAATCATTGGTCAAACCTACATTTCGGGTATTGTGTTTAGTTCCTGGCACCTTACATAAGGAAGGATGTTAAAACCTTGCAGAAAATTCAAAGGAGATTTAACGTTTTTGAGAAGATTTGTAGCTCGGGTTGTGGATGAGGTTGAAGACTTGCTCGGCGAGCAAGTCTACAACTTCATCCACAACCCGAGCTACAAATCTTCTCAAAAACGTTAAACACCGAGGTGTGCAACACCCTCAAATTGGCCCACAGATGGGAGACAAATACCATCCGAGTGCGACCCACGAATAACTACGCTTCACTGGAGGTGTACTCATGATGTTACCTAGCAGGGTGATGAAACATTTGCAATCAAACACACCGGCTCAGCGAGCAAGTCTGCAACCTTAAAGGATACAACGATACCAGGAATGAGGGATTTTAGATACAAGGAAAGATTACAGAGATTTGGCTTATTCTTCTTGGGGCAGAGAAGATTATGAGGTGACCTTACTGAGGTGTTCAAAATTGTGAACAGTTATGACAGGGTAAAGGACATTCTGTTTTCACAAGCTGTTATGTCCGTAGCTAGGGGTTCACAATTTCAAGATTGTCATCAAGAAAGCTAGGAGCGAGAAAAGGAGAAGCTTCTTTATACAGCGAGTTGTTAGAATTTAGAACAAGTTGTCTGGGAGAGTGGTGGAGGCAGATTCCACAGGAGGTTTCAAAGGACAGCTTGATATATATTTGAAAGGGATGAAGTTAGGGAGAGAGGACCGGAGAGTGGGACTAGCTTGGTGGCTGTTTTAGGAGCCAGTGCAGTCATGATGGGTCAAATGGCCACCTTCTGTGTTGTAAAATTCTGAGAGTTAAAAAGATTTTTCAGTGCCTAAAGTTACTAACTATATCTCTACCTGCTAATCCACCTTACTCGCAACACTCAGTAATCAATTCTACCATTAATCGTGATAGTTGGCAGGAGAGATCAGTGTTTCTTCCGCAAGCAAAAGGTGCTGATAATCTATCAGGAAAGGGGACTGATTATTCATCCTATCATTTATAAGATCTCACTGCTGACAATGGCAAATTCCAAAGGAAGCTTAGCCCAGCAATGGATTGTACCATCAGAAAAAGAGGCTAAAGAAAATCAACAATAAGATGATGATTAACATCAAACAATTACCATAACTACAGCATTTAGTTCTATTGCTATTTTAATTCCATTTTAAATTGTGCGATTGTTGATATAGCTCCTTTTAACTCTCAGGCCTACTAACTCTTCCCCAAAAACACTGTTACTGACTGCAACAACTGGTATTAATCTAGCTTGTTCATGCTAACATTCAGTTATTCCTCCTCCAGCATCCAGTGAACTTTATTTGTATCGTTCCCAATGGTAAGACAGTTCTCTCAGACTGTCATCAATTGATCCATTCCAAATATCTGGACAGTTGGAAATAGAGGCTAGTTTTTCTGAGGGGGCTGGCACATTCGTGGTTTTGTCCTTCCATGGGATTTTCAAAATGCATCGCAAATAACAAAGTTGTTAAGTAGTTCAACTTCCTTTCTTGATTGCTGCAAGTCAATATTTCACATCCAAATATGGTATTTTATCGAGCCGGATCAATAGCCTCAGTCAGTCTGACATCCTTCCATTCTTCACCTGAAAACACGAAGTGGTGCTGTCAAACTGTTTAGAACAGTGTATAGCATGAAAAGAAACTCCCCAAATATATAGACGCTGTCCTTACAGAGTGTTGATGCTTTGATGACAGTTCAGCTCTATTGGAGCTCGCATACAATGACAATAATATCCACCGTAAATCTACTAGCACTGTAACTACATTGGGCTTTAAGTAATAGAGTCTGCAAGTAGAATGGATTTTTAAAAAAATGCATGACTTGAATAAATGGCTTCCTAGTGATGCCAAGGAGCAAGAGGCCCCTGTAATTATTGCAACATCCTCTGACATCTTAGTTTTTCCCTGATACGATATGGGACAGATTGGAATTGCTAGATTTCATTCACAACCTACTGAGTTAGCTGATTTCAACAAAGGTAATACAGCACTGCAACTGGCTGCAGTGTGTTTGGGTTATTCAGAGATGTTTGGAATGGTTTTGAACTCCTGATTACTATCTTGCTGGAAACTGGATGTGTTTCTAAGTGCTGGGTAAGGACAGCATCGTGCTTGACCAATGGACCATCAAATATGCTTTTCACATTCTTTGCCTTGGGCTGACTCCATAAAGAATGGCCTCTTTGACAATAAAATGGAGGGCAACAATATCTGCAGAACCAAACTCTAGTAAGAACTAGCATCTTCAGGGCTTGAAAGGGGAGAAGTGGTGGAAACAGATTTGGCTTATCTGGATTTTCAAAACACATTAGGCTTGGAGTAACAAGCGTGCGCGATTCTGGTTTTGCCAGATTAAAATCGTTAGGGTATATGATCACAGCAACAGATAATGAAATTCAAAAAAGGCAAATGTGAATAAATTGGTATGGCAATAGTTAATAACAATAAGGAGAAGTAAAAGATATCAGCTGTTTATCCGAGCACATTAATGACACCAAACGTAGGATTCTGCACATTCTTTTAGCCAGTCTCCAGTCTGAAACATGACACTCGTTCCTCATCTTCACCGACCCCAGTGACCCTGTTTCAGCGCTTTTTGTTTATTCCATTGTGGCGAAATGTCAAAACTTATCGAGTGACGCCGGCTGCACTGGCGCCACAGTGCAATGTACACCGACTCCACCCCGTCAGCACAACAACACGCACCCGCCCCCCCCCCACCCCACCACACAGAGCACCGAGCAGCCCCTATCGTTCGTTCACAGGTTTAATCTTCCAAGCATATTTGATCGAAACATGCAAACAGAAATCCACTTTGACTCAATTCTAAGTAGATTTTATCTTTCCTGGAGACCGTGTCGATCGAACACGTCGCTCATCCTTAAAAATAACTGAACACCAAATAGAGCTTCCCAAACTTTTTCCTTCTGCGAACCAATTTCAAGGCTTGAAAACTATTGCATCTCTTCACTGAAAACAAAGCAGGATGACAACTGTACAGCTATTACAACCTGGTAAGGTCTCCATGGCAGGCACTCAACTCCAAAATTTCTACTTGGGGCGTGGGACCGCATTTTAGGAAGCCCCGCGTTACTAAACACCACACGGCAATAACAAGGACAAAGAAAATCAAAACGCCTAAGATGGTGCTGGTGCTTCCAGTCTCTATCTTCCCTTCTCAATCTCTCCGCCTTTCCGGCCAAGCTCACTTCATTTTGCTTCCCCCCTGCCCTACCCATACTTTTAACTACTCGGTCATTCTTTTATTCCCAACCTTGCCCTCTTAGCTCCTCACTTGGTATTTATCCTTCTTTGCAGTTCTTCTTATCTGTCATCTCCGCCTTCCCTTTCATTAATTTCCTGCTTTGTTCCCTGCATCCTGACCCCTGACATTTTTTCACTCCCAGGAGTACTCTTTTGCAAAAGGGACAGTCTTTTCTCCTCGCCTCAATTTTATCCGACTCAAAATACAACCGGTGAGATTCTCTTCTACACTGTTATCTTAATCCTTTAAACAGTACATAATCTGAATTTTGGAAACAGAATGGAGAGGTTTTGTACGTTGATGACGTTGTGGGAAAACTGGATGAACAGCTAGAAATTGGTCAGAAGTCACATGACATCAGGGTACAGTCCAACAGTCCTTGTGATGTAGAATAAATCTGTTGGGCTATAACCCGGTGTCATGTGACTTGACCTTGTCCACTCAATTCAACACAGGTACCTCCACCTCAGCTCAAGAAATTTGCATTTTCTTACTTCAACAGAGGTAAGTTAAGGGAAGTCTGATAGAGATCTTCAAAATTATGATGGGCAAACATTGAAACGTTTCTTAGCCAGGTTACTCATTAATAGAGATAAACTCATCACGAGAGAAATGGAAGGAGGAACCGAAGAAAGTTTACACAAAATCAGAATCCCTACAGTGTGGAAGGAGGCCATTTGGCCCATCAGGTCTGCATCGACCCTCTGAACAGCATCCCACCCAGACCCAGCTCCCCACCATATCTTCTAACCCTGGCTAATCCAACTAGCCTAACACATCGGATGATTTCAGTATGGCCAATTCACCTAACCTGCACTGTGGGAGGAAAGCAGAGCATCCAATGAAACCCATGCAAACCATAGGGAGAATATGCAAATTCCATACAGACAGTCACCCAAGACTGTAAGTAACATTTATGCCACACAAGTGCCAGATAATGACCATCTCTAACAAGACAGAATTGAACCATCACTCCTTGACATTCAATGGTGTTGCCAGCACTGAGTGCTCTGCCATCAACATCCTGGGGTTCACAACTGACCAGAAACTGAACTGCACCAGGTACGTAAAATACAGTGGGTACAAGGGGAGGTCAGAGGCTGGAAATCCTGCAGTAAGTAACTCACCTCTGACTACTCAAAGCCTTCCACCTGATGGAATATCCCCACTTGCCACGATGAGTGCATTCAAGCAGCTTGACACCATCCAGGACAAAACAGTCCATAGATTGGAACCACATCCACCAGTGACACATAGCAGCAGCAGTGTGCATCATCTACAAGGTGCACTATAGCAACTCATCAATGCTGTGACCTCTACCAACTAGAACAGGCATGTCCAACAGGCAAGCCATCAAATCATCCTCCAAGTCCTTGTTCAAAGTCCAGATAAATCTACTTCGAAGATTTTAAAATGAGCTGCTTGTTCAATCAGAAGTCATCTATCTCCGGTTTATTAATAAACAATCAGCTTCAAAGGCTGCAGAGAAACTATGATTAGAACAGTAACATAGTGTGAATGGTTTCACTCAACCAGAGGCCTAGACGCACAGCAAAGTCTGTGGGATAGACAATGGGACCAACTGGCTTGTGGAGGAGGGGAATGAGAATTGGGCCACTGGAGTCAGACCATTTCATTGGAAGCAGGAGGGTGGAACGAGAGTAGGAGATTGGGGTGGAGTCGTCATCGGGCCTCTACCTTAGCAAAGCAATATTAGCGGGCAACTAAGCACTCGTCGTTTGTCCATCTTCCAAGGCAGTGAGGGATGGAGATTTTAACTGGGACACACAAGAACTTTTCCAATGGTAGGACTGATTTGGGCATGCATCCTGTGACAATACTATGGCTATAAGAGGTGCATTTTGTCCTAGTTTTTTTTTAAAATGAAGAAAGGTTGAGACAGGTGACAAGCAGTCTGTTCAAAGCTAATCAAGTAAACAGCTTGTGAGGACTTGGGTTTTTTTTTAAAATGTTGGGACAATAGAACAGCCTGAATGGGTGGGGTCAAGCTCCCACAGAGCCAGAATTTAGCTTTTTGCAGCTGATGGCATCTTGAGGCTGGATGTGGAAGCTCTTATTCCTTTCTTCGTTACAGCTAAAAGCTGGTGTTCTCTTCCTGCTGCTAGAATTTCATGTCAGAATCTATTTTACTGAATTTGACTTTGCCAAGGGTGTGTTTGTGTGGGATGTTACTATATTGGAAGTTAATTAGTAGTAGTTAATATATTATTTTGTTAAGCATTTTGATAGCGTTAAGCCATTGTTCTTATTTTTAATTTTCTTTGTATTTTAACTGTAGTGCAAAAATATGATGTGTTTTGCTTAAAGTTGAGTAGTTTTACCAATCGAATTGCATCTGGAATGCTTACATTTATCTTTAAGACTAAGAAAAAGTCAGGATCTATGCTTTCTTATATTTTGAGGGGTTTGGTATGGTCCATAACAATCCTGCAACAAGGATACCAATTTAAACATTCAAATGTCCCATTAAAGAGCCATTTTTCCCACCTATTTGTTGACTTTTGTCAACAGCAGATCAGTCTTCCTCCAAGGGCAGACCAGCCCTCCAACTGCAGCCCAGGAAGGCAGGCTTTTTTTGAATTAAATGAAGGGGAGGAAGTGACCAAGGTAAGTGGGAAAGAAGTGACAAGAGTTTGTTGGTGGGAGTGAGACTCTCAACATTTCATTGAAAGAACCTAACTCTTAGCAGTCATTCAAGATAGCATCACCAAAAAAAAACAATATCTGTGAGATGAAATGCTGTGGTTAGTCAAACTCAGTGTGAAAGTGAGGACCATTTTGATGAGGCTACAATTTGACAGCTTTATCTGTTCTTTTCATTTCACTGCAGAATCACTGAACTTGAAATGCCATTTAATCCTACCAAATTCATGTTGTCATTTGAAAAGCTACATGTACTTCAGGTCCTCCCTGAAGGACTGGACACAATACTTCAGACAAAACAGTCTTCCACTCTGGTTCCTAACACAAGGCCAGTATAACTCATTGCACACTCGGATGCAACAAGCTGGGGGAGTGAGGTGGGGCGGGGGAGGGAACTACTATGCTCAGCTACAAAAATCCTCTGATACATCAAATCACTTCTAACAACAAGACAGCATCACACTCCAGTCACGCAGTCCCGAGAAATCATTTTGTCACATAAGGTATGGCTAAACCTGGAGAAATACGCTCTCCTTTGTAAAAGGTTTTATTTAGATTAGGACATAGCATCAGTACAAGTAAACCGGAGCAACATTTACTATTCTAAGCCTGGCTTCAGGGATTCGCCTAAAATCGGTTTCCCCAAGGGGTGAG